TTACGTATTTTATTATAATTATTTCTATTTTATTATTGCTAACCTCATGCATCTAATTTATAAATAAAATTTTATCATAGGCATGTATTTATAGGGAAAAAACTGTCTATAAATAGTGTTTGGTACTATCTATAGTTCCAGGTATTCACAGGGGATCTTGAAGATATGCATCTTCTCTAGATAAAAGGGCATCACTACATCCATATAATATGATTGGAAAAGACAAACCCTAATACAAATCTGGTGTGATATAGTCTGTTTGTCATAAAATTAAGAGATATACAGGAACAAACATTGTTACAACAACTTCTAGAAGCTGTGCTGTGTTTCCTGGCCCTCCTGAATAAAACTCCATTTTGAACCAGGCCTTTGTTTTTCCCCCAAGCATTATTTGCTCTTATATAGTCATGGTCTAGGGCAGATGTTAGCAAAGTCCTGCCACAGGCTAAATCCTGCACTTGGTCTTCTCCTCTCATACCACTAGATATTCAAACAAAGAAGAGTTATTGGCACAGACATCAGCAGAACATACCTCTTCTTTCCCTTCTGGCTCCATCCCTCTGTCATAAAGATGCTGGCCTGTTAGGAGCTGCTGTCTACCTTCTTGTGTTTAGAATTCCCTGTGAAAAATGGCATCTTTTGTGAGACAACTGCTGAAACTAATGGAGCCTTTTGTGTTTGCAGAACTGTTTCCTTCAGTGAAGCTAGCAGACACTGGTCAGGAAGCAGAATTACAATCTTGTCTTCATTAGCACTGTGTTTGCACCAGTCCACTCCTGAAAAACAGCACAGATTGGGATAAATTTCTCCTGTGAAATGATGCCGTTCAGCTGGAAGCAATTGCCCTGCATATAATGGTCTCTGTGTCATCCAGAGCACACTTCTGCTCATTGTTGATGTAACAGAGATGGTACTAAAAGGTTTTAGTTTGAAATTATTATAGATAATACTAATAATAACACTAATACTAGTGTTTACTATGAGGTTTTGAGAAATCACCGTCATCTATAAAATTGATTAAAATAAAATAATTTAGAACTAAAATTAACCTCAAATTTATACATTACTTAGCCATATTAGATTATAGAAAAACATTCAATCTATATCATAATATTTAAAAAGAATATGACATTTCAACATATTTTTACAAACACTTCATGCCAAAGAGAAAATTATATAGCTTTTACCATATGGCAACTTTTTTGTCATGTCAAATCTACTTTTGAATAAATTATGTTTAGAAAGGAAGAAAATATTATGGATGACTATAAACTTGGGGCTTTAATTGCTGATAAATTGGTATTATCAGTTCAAATAATTTATTAGTATTTAGTCATGACTAATAAATCTGTTAGTCAGCTTAAGACCTAGTGAGGTTAGGATCTAGTGATTTGGATGCTTCTCTATTAATGTAGAAAATAAAGGAATTTATCCAATATTGAGCACATTTACATTTAGAAGCGTGAATTTAGCATTTTAAACTTAATACTACCCCAACCCAATAGTCTCTGTCTTTGATCCTCCCAGTGAGGACCCAGGATGGTAAAAGTTTGTCCTTATTGCTTTCTTAAATACTTCTGGCAACTTAAGTATAAAAATATAATTGTTCGCTTCATACATAATTTTGAAATTAGACATTAAGCAATTGTAATATTCTTTTCATCTGCAGCCTTATCATCAGTGTCTATCAGAAATCCTTTAACTTATTCATGGCACATATTAAAAGGATATATGGAACTAAAATGGACTTGTTCCCAAGGATAATGTACTCTGACCAGAAAGCGTAAAATAAACATGGGAAAGTGTAAGTGAAGTTAGGTGAAAAAAATCTCTTTCTCAAAAACAATGCTAGGAATCTGTGTAGCTATCTTTAACTCAAAAATGCTGTATCTTTCTTATTATTGCTTATGTCTTCTCTTCAACAAAATTGGAAAAAAGGGCAGAACAGTTTCTGCCTGGAAGCAAGGGAGGTGGCGGGGAGAGGGAGGGGGTGGGGGCAGGGGGTAGGGGGAAGAAATGGCCCAAACAATGTATGCACATGTGAATAAATGAATTAAAAAAAAACAAAAACCTGGCGTAAATTGAATGGCGTCAGGAAACCTTTGAGCTATGATCACTAACTACAATTAAAGATACAAAGCAAGAACACAACACACACGAAAAACAGATGTTGCATGCAGTAGAATTTTCCAACATAAAATATGTAGCCAAAGTGAGGCAAATTGAAGCATGTGAGGTAAAAATACATCATGTACAATACCACATTCCTCCCCAGAGGGAAAGTCACTTTCGTGGTGCGCTTGCATTTCAATGCTCTTTGTGAAAACATGATATGCTGGAAAAAATCATGTCTAAATCAACAACAAACTGTCCATGGTATGTTGATGTTAGTGTGTAATTTATCAATTCTCTATGAATTTATTTGCATAATAGAAACACGTAGCATAAGACAATGTGCCTTGTATATGCTGGGCACTGTTATAAACGCTTTGCATGCTTTATCTCATTGAGTCTTCACCATCACTACCTGACTGGGCCCTATTACCATGCCTGTTTCTATGTGGAGACTCATAGAAACTAATAACTTGCCCAAGTCTTTAGAGATAATACTAAATAATCCCAATTTTTAAGAAGACAAGAAAAGTGAATTCTTCTGATTTATATCTTTGGAGAGCAAGACATTAATCTTATTTTCTTTAGCTCTCTTTGAGAGGCTATCCATGCATCCTTATCTGAAATTACTCCTATTATGCAGACCTCTACTTTAAAAAATGGAGGTCACAGTGTAGATAAACCAAAGCTAAACTTCTAGAGTTATGTAGCTAAAATTTAAGTTATCTTGATTTCCCTAAAATTTGAGCTATAATACTGAAGTACAAAATGACTTGAAGCACAGTATGATTTGGTAAAATTAAACCATGTAGCCACAGACAAATCAGCTTAAACATGTCTGCTTGTCCTAAAAGAATGTAAGTTTACAGTGGCCAATCACAAGGAAGATTTCAGTAGTTCATCCTTTTTGCTTTATAAGCTGCACTATAAATGCTTTGAGCAGGATTTCTTACAACTTTGTATTTGAAGTCTGCTTTAAAACTCTTTCTTCTTATGTACAATAAACATTTTGAATTTTTCTAGCTTGATCTTAGTTTATTTTTGACACTTTCTATATACTTCACCTATTCTATTTTTATGCTGAATACTTGACACTGTCAAATATTCTGTATAGTTTGTTTATTTATTCACACTATTTATTTTCTCTTCCCCCACACTAGTGACATCCTATGAAGGAACACATTTTAATCTGTCACTAGTATATTTCCAGTGACTAACATTGGCACTCAATAAATAATTGTTGAATGGATGAATAAATCAGTGCTTTATTCTTAGATACAATTCTAAAATGGATATTAAAAAACATATTCTGGGCCTTTAGAAAAGAAAATGATCATCTGGAGTACATCAATATACATCCAATGGTCACTAACACAAAAGCATGTCAGCCTAAATTAATTTTCTTTTCCTGTAGGACCAGTAGACCAGATCAGTACTAGTCTCACTTTCTAGCTGAATTTCAGTAAGCACTTGATAAAATCTTCCATTATGAATGTGTGATTAAGAAGCATAAAAGCAAGATCATGAATGAATGCCTGTCTTCATGAATCAATTGTCTGGATAAAAGAAGCTTCTAATAATTCACTGGAATATTTGATCTTTGGGTCTCTTCTGTTCCCTATTTTTATCATTAATTCTGGGTGTAACATTAATGGCATAAGAAGCTAATCCAGAGCTGAAGCAAAAATGGGAAGAATAGTTAAAATACAGTTGCTAACAAAATCAGCATACAAAGATACTTGACATCCTGGAGAAGAGAGGTAAATAAACTTTAAAATCTTAAAAAGTGAAATTTAAAATTTCAAAACACTAACTAGAGAAGAACTATATAATGTTGTTTGAGGAGCAGTTGGGGCAGTAGTGAGACCTAGTTTGACAGCAAATAGGTTAGTTGTAAAATAATATTAATCAATAATATGACATGACCCCCCCAGCAAATATTAATTCATCCTTGGGTTTCAGAAATGGAACTGGGTTTAGAACAAAAAAAGGGTAGTAAATCAGCTCTATATTTGTTTGGTTCTCTCATGCTTAGAACTGTGATTCTAATCTTGAGCAATTTACCTTAAAAGGACATTGAGATGGTAGAGTACATGCCAAAGTTGCAATCATTATTAAAAGTATAAACATATATCACATGAAAAACATCTGAAACTGTGGTGCCAAATTCATAGCCTTCACATGTGTTTCATATGGTTCATTTATAGGGGTTTCAAAATTTGAGTTAGTGACAAATTTTCAAAATGAGTAACTGTCTCCTTAAAATATGGATTTCTGGCCAGGCACCAGTGGCTCACATCTATAATCCTAGCTACTCAGGAGGCAGAGATCAGGAAGATCCTGGTTCAAAGCCATATTGAGCAAATAGTTCCATAAGACCTATCTCGAAAAAACCCTTAGCAAAAAAGGGCTAGCAGAGTGGCTAAAGGTGTAGGCCCTGCATACAAGCCCCAGTACTGAAATATATATATAGTAAGGAACTGCCAAATAAAGACCACACCATGTGTAGAAAAGAAAGATTTATTAGGAACCAGACTGCAGGGCTGTCACTCTCGGGTTCAGAGTGAAGTGGCTTGGCTGAAATGAGTAGTGGGCTTTACAGGAGGGGCCAAGCCATGGGGGAAGGAGAGAGTCTCTGTGATCACCAGATGGAACAGGTGGACATGCCTGGCTAGTTGAGTAACTGGAAGTTCCTGAATTGTTTTGCAAACTGAGAAACAATCAGGCAGGGAAACAAGCAGGGGAGAAACAAGCGGTCATAAATCAGGGAGTCTGGTTTCGGTGCTAGCCTCAGGAACTTCCGCCTGCCCCAAGAATGACAGGGACCTAACATTCCAGCCTTTTGTTGCTATTATGGGAGCCAATCAATCTAGCTACTTCATGCTGAGTGGGGGCATCATTAAGGGGGGGGTTGGCTGGAATTTGAAAATTTGTGAAGTCCCCAGGAGCGAAGGCTGACGGTCTTTCCCATGCTTCATCTACAGATAAGGCCAATTGTTGGGAGAGGGTTGTAGTAGCATCTGGTGGGAAGTCTATCTGCTGAGTTCCCGTAGGTGGTCCTGGAGGCATCTAGGGTTAAAGAGCATTTTTTTGGTTTGAGGGTTTGTATTTCCATAGCATCATTACATGTGCAGCTGTTTTTCTTTCTATAGTAGCCTCTGTATGGACCTAATAGATCGTACAACCAAGGTAAGGATGCAGGGAATTAGTATGCATGCTCCCAGAATTAGGCCCACTGCCCTTATCAGTATTTTAAATCCACCCATGGCAGAAAATTGAGAGCCAGATGAGGACTAAGAACTTATGTAGGAGTGGAAGAGAGAGAGAGTTTTTTTTTTAATTTTTTTAAAAAGGACTCATTCACCCAGCAGATGAGGGGCTCTGTGGCTCTGCACTGAAGTAAGTCATTTTGAAGAAGGGCGGCCTCTGGGTAGTGCCAATCTAATAAGTCTCTACTCAGGCCCTGTCCACAAAGATGAGGGCTGTCTTTAAACTCTTGTGGCAAAACTGACCAGGTTAGTTGCTATGAAGCATTTGTGGGATAATTCTGCAAATGTTTGTATCATATTTAGATAAAGTATAGACACAGAACACAGTTATAAGGTGGTCATTTAAGAGACCTTTGCATGAGCAAATACATAAATGAACTCTGATTTAGTAGTACTTAAAGCTTGACAAGATCAACAGAAAACACAAGTAATTACTTTGATAAAATCTTTTCCTATAACAGTTTTCTGTAGATGCTACTCAGAGCAGAACAATATTAAGGTAACCTTGTCATTTTGTAGACATAGAGAATTTGATTTTAGTTTGATATGACTTTAAAAAATCTTTTAGGCAACTCTTAGATTATAGTCAACTTTAACTTTACCACACACTGAAGCTTTTATTATACACTTTTAAAACTTACTCAGACCTTCATACAACATACTAAACCTTCTGATGGTTTGTTCTTATCCCTCCTATTTGAAACAATCTTTAGGACAAACCCTTCTTTACAAGATGCTTTCTCATCCAAAAAACCATTCCTTTTTCCTTTAACTTCTCAAAAATACATTCAATGCCTATCCCTATCCGTTCCAGTTGTTTACTTTGTAACTTATATTTTAAAATTAACTTTTATAAGAATTTTAATTTTAAATAAAACTGTCTTCCCTTTTTGGCTGGTGAATGAGACTGTCCACCCCCATCATGGAGCTCTGTGAAGGATAAAGCTTACCCGAAAAGTCAGGTAGCACCAACTAGGTAATTGAGGCCTACCTGCTTCTTGGACAGTAACCCTGGGATCCTCCAAGGTGATCTTGAAGGGGGCTGAGGTCTCAGGGTCACATCAGTCTTCTGCTGCCAGGTCCAAGAGGTCCATAGGGCTTCACTCTGTTGAGAGTGGGAGTGGGAGACTGACCTAGCTTGCAGAGACAAAGAGGGGCAGTCATCCTTCCAGTGTCCATTCTGGCCACATTGTGGACAGGGTCCTGGTAGTGGGTGAGGTAAAGGGCAGTTTTTTTCTGCCCAATGTCTCATCTGGTTGCACTTGAAGCAGGCCCCTGGAGGTGTTCATTGTTGTCCAGCCGTCTGGAAGTTGGAGGAGGTGACCTCAGGGCAGCCACCAAGAGCTGGTCCTTTCACTGGTCTCAAGCCTCATCTCAGTTATTAAATACCTTAAATGCCATTTTCACAAGATCTCCCTGGGGGGGTTGAGGGCCATCCTCTGGCTGTTTAAGTTTTCTTCGAATATCAGTGAAGGATTGGGAAATAAAATGAGAGTTGAAAATAATTATTCCATCCTTGGAAGATGCGTCTCATGCCAAGTCACATCGTATGCTTGGGTTAGGTATTTAAATTTTTTTAATATAAGAGGTTAAGTCATTAGAGAAGGAGTTTAGTCTCTTTTCCATTTGAGAGAGATCAGTCATGGAAAACGGCACATGAACTCTGATAATGCCATTAGCTCCTGCCACCTCCCGGAGTGGGTAGAGATGGACTGGACATGCTTGGGAGGAGGTATGGGAGTGGGAGGAGAAGGGTGAGGGTGTAGCAGGGACTGAGGGCAAGGCTGGCGGTGTTGGCTCCTGAGGAGCTGATGGCTCAGGGTCAGTTGTAACCACTGTAGAAGGGGAATAGGGTGGCAGATGTTTGGGAGAGCCAGCAGGGGTGGAAGAAGGGGGGTCTGAGTCATGGAAGGATGGGGTAGGAGAAGAGATTGATGTAGAGGACTGGTGGGAGGAGTTGGGAAGTGGGCAGACAGAGCCCTTGAGGTCGCAAGTAAGAGAAGAGTCTTCTGAAGGGGGTTTGGTGGGAGGGAGAGACACAGACTTCGTGAGGGGGTTGTCGTCACTGGCAAGGAGGATTTGAACAGTGTTACAAGATTGGAGCAGGGAGGTTTGAGAGCAGAAAGGAAAGCTTGGACGAATGGAATCTCAGATCACTTACCACTGCGATGGCAGAAATTGTTAAGATCTAGGAGTGTGTGAAAATCAGTCGCTTATGTTATATATCATCTTAGAGACCAAGGGGAGGGTGCAGAGAAGGCATCCCAGTGGATGTATCTAATGTAGAGTGGGAGGTCCCCATAATGCTGCAGAAGGAGAGAGAGAGAGAGAGAGAGAGAGAGAGAGAGAGAGAGAGAGAAAGGCAGGTGCCTTGGTGAGTTTACCCTTCAGGCCAATATAGATCTAGGTCAAGATCTAGCCTCCCTTAAGTGACTCAGGCAAGGAGAACAGAATCGTCCAGTTGCCGTTTGGTCAAAGTAAGCTGGAGGGGCTGTTGAGCTCTCACCCTAGGCAGAGGAAAGGAAAACAGGGAGGGAGAACAAGAGAGAGAGAGAGTGAGAAAGAGTGGGAGTGTCACTCACACAGGTTCCCAAGGGCAGGTGTCCCCAGCCTAGGATGCCGTCCAACAGAAAATGTCCCAACTGGTTAGCCAGTCATCCCCTTGCTAAGAGGTGGGCACCCCAGCAGGAGGAGAGAGGCATACCTAGTGTAGAGCTACAACTTCTGGTCCAGGCAAAGCAGGTAGCCCCGGCAGGAGGGTGACATTTACTGAGTCTGAGAAGTAGGTCAGGTGGAGAACTGTGGAAGAGAAAGGCTAAGGATGGATGGGAAAGCCAGCAAGGCAGTAAGGTCTGAAATCCGCAGTCTGGAGGCACAGGGGGTCAATTCAGCAGTCTGGGTTCAGGGGTAGGGAGGACACAAAGGCCAAGGGACCAGCCCAAGGCTGGAACATCCTGTTAACCTTTCCCAGGTTTCAGCACCAGATGTAAGGAACTACCAAATAAAGACCATGCCACGTGTGGAAAAGAAAGATTTATTAAGAACCAGACCACAGGGCTGTCTCTCTCGGGTTCAAAGTGAGGCGGCTTGGCTGAAATGAGTAGTGGGCTTTATAGGAGGGGTCAAGCCATGGGGGAGGGAGAGAGTCTCTGGCCTCCGATTATCTGTGATCACCAGATGGGAACAGGTCCACATGCCTGGCTAGTTGAGTAACTGGAAGTTCCTGAGTTGTTTTGCAAGCCGAGAAACAATCAGGCAGGGAAACAAGCAGGGAAGAAACAAGTGGTCATAAATCAGGGGGTCTGGTTTCAGTGCTAGCCTCAGGACCTTCCACCCGCCCCAAGAATGCCAGGGACCTAATATATATATATATATATATATATATACCTTGGAGATGTAGTGATGCTCTTCTGCTTCTCTCAGCTTAGTTTGCTCATTTACTTTAAATTCCTGGTGCCTACAGTAAACTGAGTGCTTTTTATCTGAACTAAAAGGACCAGGGAATGCATGGTTGATGAGGGTAGGAGAAAGCCTATCAGAAGGTCTTTCATGGTACAGAGCAGTTAGGCCCAATCTGGTTGATACCAGAAAACTAAACACAGGTGGTAATTGTAGATAGTATGTTTACAGTATATGTACAGAATAATTTCTCAAAGTAACTTGGCAAGTTACTGTGTTTTGCCTATGGCACTCAGTGACTAATTACTGAATAAATGAAGTAAAACAGGTTGTGAGTGGTGTATTTCATTTCAGGAATGCCAGAATGTAAGCAGCTATCTTGTTTCATTTCATTTATAGATCTATCCCAGTATCTAAGTCAGTGCCAACTGCATGATAGGTACTCAGTAAATATTTTCAAATTTCATGATTGGAGATATTCAAGTGAAGAATCATGGTCTGTTTGCCATTGCTACAAGAAAAATTTATTAGCTATACTGGTAGGGAATCATAGGGGAATATTAACCTAAGTGTGATTTTAAGTGACTTCTAAAACTGAAAGGAATCTATCAGGCAAGTGATACAAAATGAGTGGGTATGTTACATAAAGTGTAAACACAGTAAAAATTAAAAATGTACATTAATAGCTAATCTGAAAGGCAAAATACTTTGCCAGTTCTTTAGGTTATGGTCCAGGACATTATTGAGTTTAAAAACTGAAAAAACTAATTGTTTAGGATTTTTTTTCTGATATTTGATTCTAACCTATATTTATATTGGTGTTAGTGATATTTCTACTTTTCAGCTATTTTGTGCCAGCCAAGAAAGGTTAATCATTCTTGTGCAATGAAAAAATATTTTAGCTCCTGATATTTATAATCTAACAAAAAATCTTTGTTGCCTTGAGGTTTGGAGTGATTTGTTATTCTGTCCTTAGAGGACACCCATGAAAACAAATCAAACCATTGGGAACTGATGTCGCTTTTTATTGTTCTGGGTGGTAACTGAAAGCGACATTTTAAAAAATCATTTTATAACTAACCTAGAAAATAATCTTTAGAGGCCAAAATGCAGCAGCAGCAAAAAAAAAAAAAAAAAAAAAAAAACCCAAATAGCTAAGTGTCTAGTTTTTAAATTCGTGAACAAAAACTCTTTGTGCCTTTTATTGTGACGCTCTAGATATTTTAATATTCTTAAAATCAAGAAAAAGGAGAAACTGCTTTATAACCTTGAAACAAACAAAAGTCTAAAGCCATAAAATCTGAGCCCCAGCGATGAATGTATTTAGAATGTAATCCTGAGGGGTGCACACCAACTATGAAAAGTAATAGTTTATTAAATTCTGGGAAACTTTCAGTTCATTTGAAGGGGATATGGTAATTGATTTTTGCTAAATATAATTTACAAAAGAAAGCCTTTTCTTCTGACTATTTGGTTTCAGGCAAACAAAGAAAAGAAGCAGTTAAATGTGAAAAGGTTGGTTGCTGCTTCTTGGTGGAGTAAGTCTACGAACCATCTTTATATAGCACAGATAATCAACAATGATGGAATTCTTATTCTAGAGTGGTGTAGCATAGCCTCAGAATTCTATATCATCATTATTATTTATGGTAATGTGCTGAGTATGCACAGCTTCTGTCTCTGAGAAATACTTAGCAACTTATGGATTTGTTTTAATTAGTTTTCAAAGCTTCATCATAGAGCATCATGAACATAAAGCCTTAACCCTAGTTTTAGATTCAGCCATTGGTGAAACAATGATACAAACACTTTTATTTTAGTGACTTCTGCTTTCACAAATCCCCTGCTCTCTGCATAGCACCTTATTTCTCCTTCTTTGATTTAAAGAAGAAAAGCCTTATGAATTTTAATTTGTAAAATACATACAGAGGAAATTTTCAAATATGCAGAATAGTGTAATAAACCCTGTGTACTCATCATCCAGTTTCAATACTTCTTAATATACAACTTATTCTTTTTTTTCTATATCCTCACCTACATTTTCCTCCACTAGGATTAGTGCCAAATTCAAAGTATAATATCCCTCCATCTGTATTTCAGTATGTGTCTAACGATAGTCCTTTTTAAAAAATTGTCTGAATAATATTAAAATGCTTGTATACTTTTCTAATAAAGTTCCCCCAAATTTCTTAATATCAAATTTCTCTGACAGCTAAAATAATTTTTAATTTTTAATTTGAAAGGGTTCCAAGCAATGTTAATACATTAAAATCATTATGTCCTTTACTTCTCTTTTAGACTGTTAATTTCCTCTTTCTATCATCTCTGTCTGGAAATTTTCTTGGGAAAAATGTGTCAGATATCAAACAGAATTTTTCGTAGGTTGAATTTTGTCAAGTGCATCACTATGGTTTTATTCATCATAGTCATCTACCTGGATTTTCTATCATGCAGCATTTGCCTTTCACTTATTTCACTTAGCATAATGCCCTGCAGGTTCATCCATGTTGACTCAAGTTGGAGGATTTCCTTCTCTTTTATGGCTGAATAATATTCAGTTGTATATATGTACCACATTTTCTTTATCTATTTTTCTGTCCATATTTTACCTATTATGAATAATATTATAATGTATATGGGTATAAATATCTTTGACATACTGATTGCCTTTCTATTGGGTTTGTTCCATACCCTCACCAACATTTGTTATGACCAAAGCAAGTATGAAATAATATCTCACTGTGGGTTAAGCAAGCATTTCCCTGATGGCTAGTAATACTGAAAAACTTTTCATATACATGCTGATCATTCATATATTTTCTTTGGAGAAATGTCTGGGTCTTTGCCTATTTTTAAAAAGGATTATTGATTTTGCCATGAGTTGTAGGAGTTCCTTGAATATTTTTAACATTAGCTACATATATAATTTTGAATATTTTTGCTATTCCATAGATAGAAAATATTTTTCATTTTGCTGATTGTTTCCTTTCTCTGCAGAAGCTTTAAAATTGATATAGTCTCACTTGTTTGTTTTTGAATTAGTTGCCTGTGATTTTGGTGCATATTTAATTAATCATTTGACCACTATCAAGGAGCTTTTTCTCCTATGTTTTCTTGTAGGAGTTTTATAGTTTCAAGTCTTTAATTTATCAAGGTAATTTTTATGTGTGGTATAAGATAAGCATCCAATTTCATTCTTTTGTATGTGGATATCCAGTTTCCCCAGCACAATTTATTGGTGAGACTACCCTTTCCCCATAGTATACTCTGGATGCAATTGTCAAAACTGTATTGACTATATATCCCTGAGTTTGTTTCTGGGGTCTCTTTTCTGTTCCATTTGGACTATGTATCTGTTTCTATACCATTGCCATGCTTCTTTGATTGCTACAGCTTTGCAATATAGTTTGAAGTCAGGGAGTGTGATGCCTCCAGATCTGTTCTTCATTCTCAAGATTGTTTTGGCTATTTAGAGTCTTGTGGCTCTGTAAAAATTTTAGGATTTTTCCATTTCTGTAAAAATGTTATTAAAATTTTCAAGTGGTTACATTGAATCTGTAGATTGCTTTGGGTAGCATAGGCATTTTAACAATATTAAAACTTCCAGTCTGTGATCTTGGGACATTTTTGCATTTATTTAGGTCATTTTCAATTTCTTTCATCATTTTTTATAGTTTTAAGTATAGATACTGTTCAACTCTGGTTACATTTATTCTAAATTATTTTATTCTTTTTGATGTTATTATCAACAGAATGTTTTTATTAATCTTTTTCATATAGTTTGTTGTTAGCATGTAGAAATTCAACTAAATTTTGTATGTTGATTTCATATACTGCAACTTTACTTTTGTTTTGCTTTGCTTTGTTTATTCTATTGGTTTTTTGGTGGCAACTTTAAGGTTTTACATCTTTAAGATCATGTCATCTGTAAACAGATAATTAGTTTATTTCTTTCTGACTTGGATGCCTTTTTTCCCTTTTATTTGTCTAATATCCCTAGATAGGACTTCCATTACTGCATTGAACAAAGGTGGTTACAATGGTCATCTAAACCTTGTGTTACATCTGAGAGGAACAAATTTCAACTTTTCATGGTTGTATATGATGTTCACTGTGGTATTGTCAAGTGTATTTTTCATTATGTCGAACTACATTTCTTCTGTACTTAATGTATTGAGGGCTTGTTTTATCATGAAAGACTGTTGCATTTTGTCGTGTGCTTTTTTGCATCTATTGAGATGATCATAGGTCATAGGGTTTTCATCCTTTATTCTATTATTATGATATATGACATTTATCATTTTAAGTATGGGAAACCCTACTTTCATGACTAAGAATATTATCACTTGCTGTCATGAATCATCCTTTTCAATTGTTGCTGAAATTGGTGCCCTAGTATTTCATTAAGGACTTTTGCATGTATGTTCACCTGGGTTATTGACCCATAATTATCTTTTCTTAGCATCTTTATCTGGTTTTGCTATAAGGGTAATTCTGACCTCATGAAATGAATTTGGAAGTGTACCCTTTGATTTAACTTTTTGGAAGAGTTGCACAAAGATTGCTATTAATTCTTGACATGAAGTACTTGTAAAATTCACCTAGTACCAGGTTGTCCTTTGTAGAGAGATTTCTATTACTGATTCAATCTCCTTTCTTGTTTTGATCTGTTTAGATTTTCTATTTTATAATGACTCAGTGTTGGTAGGTTGTATGTTTCTAGAGATTTACCCACATATTCTGGGTTATCCAATTTTTTTGACATATAAAATTTTCATTGTGGACTCTTATCCTTTACTAAATCCTTTGTATTTCTGTAATATCAGCTACAATATCCTCCTTCATTTATAATTTTATTTATTTGATTCAACTCTTTTTTCTTGATTCGTTTAGCTAAAGGTTAGTCTAATCTGTTTAGCATTTTAAAAATCAACTCCATTTCATTGATTTTTCCTAACTGCATTTCTAGTCTCTATTTCATTTTTCTAATATTTCCTCTTTCTTTCCTTGTGCTAACTTAGGGCTTGATTTATTC